AGCATTGGTGCTAACGCTGTTCGCCACCACTGTCTCTACTTGCGGTCATTTCATTTATTTCGCTTCCTTTCGCGTCCCTAACCTGACTGATTACACCCGAGTCAAAATTGAGTTTACACAACTCTTGGGATTTTAACATTTTTTTTTAATACGATGGGATTCCGCACTCTTTCTAAGCCTTTTGCCCGTGGCCAAATTGGCACCCGCAAAAGCCTCGAACTCGTCAGCCGATGACGCCCTCGACGACGAGGACGCCATAACGGCTTTAGTATTTTTTGCTGCCGCACGCGGCAGGCTTGCTTTTAGTTATAACCGACGCTAATAAAAGTTCACCAAAAATGTCACAACTTATGCTAAGATTGCAAAACCACTCACCTGCTTTTGCTTATCACTGAAGAAAAGGTGTTCTTTATATCCGAATTGACCGAAAGCGGTTAAAAACTAAAGAAACAAACGAGCAAACAGTTTGCTAAAGCTTTTGTTTTTATGTTCAGAACAAAAATTGTTTATTTTTTTTTAAGTACAGCACACTCATGTGCAAATGCGCAGAAAAAGTTGATCCTCAATTAACTGTGTATGCCAAAACACGTCCACCGTCACTCGCAGATCAAAAGGGAATGTCGGCTTTAATGTTTACAAAACTGGATGTTTATTCGCACACACGCGGTTACATATACAGGCTTGTTCTAGTTGCAATCAGAACCGCATTGTTGCGCAAATTATTGAAGTATCACGTTCTGTGTGAATTTCTAGCAATGTATTATCAGTTGGGCAGTTGCAACAATGTTGCACATTTTTCACCAGTACGGCAGTAATGCCGCTTTTATTACGTGCCTCCAACAAGCCCTACATTTTGAACTTTAAATGCAACGACTAGCTAAAGAACTTCGCTTGAAGGCGGTCAAATACAATCTGTCTTCTTGCTGTCCTTCGTTTGTCTAGTCAAGTCCATCATTGAGTACGTTCAGTGTGTGGTCCGTTCAATCCCTATCAAGTATTCGTCGATCAGTCTTAGTCCGGTGACTGGACCCCCTGCCCCTACCTGGTTACAACGATGGTCACTTCCCTTTC